GGCGCCCTTACCCACTTGCGCTCTATTGGCCGGCAGAATGGCTTGCTCTCTCCGCGCACGGCGATTGGCCGACGGGGTAGCAGCTCCAGCTCGGGCTCGACAGCCGCCCCCAGTTCCGTAAGTTCAGAAAAAAGCCGGGGCGGAGGTCGCTGCGTCACTTATCCTCCGCCCCCCTTTTCCCTCCACCACTCCGCCGCCGGGCGGTCGGTGTTTAGGGGGCCACCTCCAAGGTAAGCAGTCGTCACAGTTGTGTTACCAAGAAACGTTTTATTCTGCTTGCAGTAGCCTTTTGTTAATTGCACAAAATCATGTTTTGTTTTTGCCATTTAAACATTATCACACAATCCTATTCTGAAAGACATGTTCATTAAAAACAAAGCAAAAATAAAAATTCACAACCTTAATTACCAGATTTGTCATTTAAAAGGGGAAAAAAAAGGGGGGCGGAGGAGGGGCTTTCTTACAAGCTTTTCACAAGTGTCACATTTTCTCCTTAAAAGGGAAGGATTTCAAAACAAAGGTGAAATAGCTTAAACAGAAATATTCATAAAAGGGAACTTTACAGAATTGTCAACAATATTAAGACAACATTGACTAACCAGTTTCATTACAGCATCTTCCCCCACTCCCACCCCCACCCCCAGTGTCCAGCTAGGACTATAACAGGCTTTGTGTTCTGACAGAAAAGAATTCAAAGTCCCAGTGAAATCAACTGTGCCAAAAACCCACAGGCATCTTCCCTGCCCTCCCCACCCATGTCTTCCGAGATCCCATAACCTGGGTTCTGATCAGTGGAAAAGGGCCAAAGTTGTGAGGAGGGACCCACACCAGTGTGGCCACCTCATTTTTTATATATAATTATATATTCACTATAAATGCTGACCTGCAAAGTGTGACTTTGGAAAATCCAACCCATGCAGAGGAAAAGAACACTGACAACCTTCAGGTGACTTCTCCTTGTTCTTATACCACATTCCAATCCCCTCTGGTCCCCTATCCAAGGAGAAGTACAAGGTCCTCAAGGATGTCTTGGATCTACCTCTGAGGATCAGGAAGTTCAGGTTCAAGCCAGGCCCAGTTCTCCTTTTCTCTCCTGACAGACCCCAGGGCCCTGGAAGCACCAAAGACCAAGCTGCTGGCTGAAGTGAAGACACTCATTCCGTTTCAAGAGCTGAGCCTAAGAAATGGTCATCGTTGGTCAGGCTGGGTCTGGGCCAAAGGAACAGACAGGAAGAAATACTGTCTCCATGGAAGGAAAAGGGGGAAAGGAGGAGGGTGGAGAGAGGCAGGCATGCAGAGGACTTGTGCAGGGGCAGGCTGGAGAAGGTGGGATCACTGTGAGGGCGCCCAGGTCAGAGTGCCTCTTCAGGACCTAGCAAAGTCTGTGGCATAATGTTAACAGGAAGAAGCCCATCCCCCTCCCTCTTCACTCCTCACTGGTGGCCCTCAGGACCCCCTTCCCAAGGGCTGGAATGCAAATCTTACTAAAACAGCCTGTTGAGGAGTGAGATCCCCCTACACCAAAGCAAGGAAGTCTGATCCCAGCCCAGGGCTCCATGGTGACGGTGACTTCTAGGACGGGTGCTGAAGAGCAGCGAGGAGAGCAGGCTTCTGTGAGGCTCAGCCTACAGGCTGACTGACTGCTGCTCTCCCTGGAAAGCCAAAGCCCTGTCTTCACTTGACTTTGCCAATCTCTTCAGTTCACAAAGGCATTTCTGGAGAGTAGGTTAAACGTTGGTAGCTTAAACATGACAATCCTCATCAGCTGGTCACCTGAGGTTGGAGGGTCCACAGGATCCTCCATTTAGTCTGTGCTGGTTCATCTTGGCCCAGAACCTCTCTCTGCAAGGGATCCAGTCGGAAATGGGGATGTGACCACAGCCTCTTCGCTCTGGGGGAAGCAATGGGAAGGCTTCCAGGTCTCACTGCTGATTCTAGTTCCTCGACTGGAAGGGGTCTGAGATAAGACAAGCTTGGAAGAAGGTGGGGAAAAAGCAGGCAGCAGTTTCCGGGCAGCTTCTATCTTTGAATAAGAGCCAGTGTGAGTGTACGTTTGTTTGTTTGTTTGTTTGTGTGTGTGTGTGTGTGTGTGTGTGTGTGTGTGTGTGTGAACACACAGCCACCTGGTTTGGGGGCCAGTGCCCAGCTCAAGAGCTTTGCTACAGGCCAACCCTGCTACACCCCTCCCCCTCCAAGGACCTTCAGGGGAGGAGTAATGCTGTGTGCTGTGCTGATGGCAAGTCTCAAAGTCTGTATAAAAGGAGATGGAGACAGGTGGACTGGTCCAGAGTGAAATCCCAGGACCCCAACCCCATGTGAAGAGGGGGTCAGAGGGAAAATTGGAGTAGTGGGGGCTTAGTGTATGTAGGCCCGGTACACGGCAGACATGTCATTGTCAGACTGGTCCAGTGCCTTGGCTCTTTTGTACACCTGTAAAAAAATGAGACGGGCTCAGACTCTGATCACACAGCTGACTTAAATATATGGATCTGCTTCCTGGAGGTGGTTCTAGATGTAGTTAGGTAGGTAGGTTCTGAAGTCGAGGCTGTCTGAGTGTGACCCCTGGCTCCTCTGCTGACTGGCCTGACCTTGGACAAAGTGCCTCAGCACCGCTTTCTGATATCATGCAGAAGGTAACAGGGTTGGGGGGGGGGG